GCAACAACAATTGAGCGAAAAGGTAGTTTTGGTACATGTTCATATTTAGATTGTTTGAAATCGTAATCAGTTATATTTATTGGTTTTATTATTGGAACATCTGACATAATAAAATAATATTAAAGTTATTTAGAAAATATTTTATATTTATTATTTATATGAATAGAAGTTATTCGGATTATATTGATATAATAGATAAAGTAAAAAATATAGAACAAGTAATACTAACTGATAATAGATTTAAAAAAGTATGCTATTTTGTTTTAGAATTAATTAAGTTTGTGATACAATATATTAAAAATATAAATATTAATATAGATGGGGAGAAAGAAAAAGAATAAGACAGAATCAGTTGTTTCTTCAACTGATGAAGAAAAAGAAGAAGTTGTTAAAGAAACATCAGTTCTTGAGTTTGCTTGTCCAATGTGTAAAAAGATGTTAGAAATGAAAAATGAATTAGAAATTCAAAAGAAAGGAAATTGTAAATGTTCGTGTATTCCGACAAGTTACAAACTAAGTAAAAACGATAAACGAATAAATATCGATAAAACCAAAGACAGTATCAATTTAGAAACAGATGTTCATAATATAACTTTTAAATGGGGTCGGCAAGCATCACCATCCGATAGTGGCGATAAGGAAACTCAGGAAACTGTTAAACAAATGATGAAAAAATAGTATTTAAAGAGTAGATTTAACATAATTGCAACATTTAGTTTTAAAAGTTTAATTTTATAATTTAGTATATATTTACATGGATGAAGGATTAGATAAGATTGTTAAAAAACTGAACAAGGTTTTAGAACAGAATAAGAATATTTTAGAAATCTTGCAAGAAATGGAAAAGAAGAAACCAGTAACAAACAGTTATCAAAGTCAGGAAGTAGATAGAACCAGAGCTGAATATAAAAATAAAAGAAATATTTATTTAAACAAACTTAATAACAAAGAAATTAAAGAACCGAAGGCTTCAACTATGACATTTTATCAAATTGACTATGATGAAGATACAGGGGTTTATTCATAATATAACGATATATTGAGAAAATAAAAGACCGCACACATACATGTTTGATTTGTAATTGTTGTGTGTCTTGGAGGGCAAAAGCAAGACACGAAAAAACTTTGAAACACCAAAATTATTTAAACGAACTTAATAACAAAGAAATTACAGAACCGAAGCAATCAACAATGGATTATGACAAAATAGAATATGACAAGGAACTGAAACTTTATGTTTAATCATTAACTAACAAAATTTCGTGTCTCAAAAGCGGTTTGTTTATTCCTGCTACTTTGTAAGTTTTATTACCCATAATATCATATTCAATTTTATCGATATTGAATATTTTATTAGACCATTTAGAGTTATACTCCTTTCTGTCGGTGTAATTACCCCTTTTCTTTTGAAACACTTTTACCTTGTCGTTCTCCACTATTCTGGGATACTTTCTTTTGTTTTTTTCTCGTAGTTTAAGATTGACCTTTACATTTATTTCATTCTCGTCCTTGTGTGCTTCAGACGGTGTCATCCTTGTTGATGAGTGAGATGTGCTGTTATACTGTTTCAATGCCGGCGTTAGGGCGTCGGTCCATTTCATGTTGTTAAACCTAACTCTATCGTGAATTTTGTTTTTCATCGTTCTAATAAAACGCTCGGCCACATTTGCGTGGGTCTTCGTGATGATGTGGTTTATTCCTTCACTGTTGAAGAAATCCTGAACTTGATTTTTAGTTGCAAACGCTCCGTCGTCATCAGAATACACGGACATCGGATAACCCATCTTTTTAAAGCTTGTTCTCAACGCCTTCAAAACGTGCTCTCCGTCTCTTTCCTCCATCGGTATTACATCTGCTAATTTACTGAAGATGTCAATCACGACTAAAGCATACTGTGGAACGTTCTTGTCTTTTGCTAAAGGAGACATATGCATTATGTCTATTTGATATTCATATCGTGCGAATGGAGCGGTATAGGAATTAGTACCTCTATAATTTTTGATTTGTTTATTTGGTTGTTTCTTCAAGAAAGACTTTACATCGTCTATTGTTATTGTTGGGTCTTCTTCCTTTGCCTTCTTGTGTGTCGCTTGTATGCTTCCGAAACCCTCGTCTAAGTCGTAATAGATGTTGCTGATTATTTGGTCTTTTGTTAATCTCGCCATTATATTAAATTGTTAGAAAATATTTTTTCAATATAAACCACCACCCCTCAACATAAAATAAAAACTACTTAAAGAAAAATTGGTATAATATAGTAAGAGAAAAAAATGACACTGTTTAATTATGATAATTGTCCTTGTAAAAATAAAAAATGTAAGTCTGTCGTGGCACTAGCTAATATTTTACCTGTCAATGTTTGTAATCTTATAGGTGGTTATATTAAACCAACATGTTTTGATTGTTGGTATTTGAGAGATGAAGAAGAACATTTTATGAGAAATAAAGACATTCCTGAAGAAGGTCTGGAAAAAGCAGAGCTTCAGTTAAAGATTATTGAACAAATGCTAAATAACGATATTACTTGTCTAACAGTAATCCCTTTTGTTAACAAACAATACAGAAAAAGAATTGACAGAATATTTAATAAACAAGAGGTTAAAGAAAGATTTAAAACAAGAAAAATGTATTATCAAGGATTAAAATCATATTGTAAGAATAATCAAGAAGAAGTTATTGTACTTTTAAAAAATTGTCTTAAAATTGAAGAATTAAAGTTTATCAAAAATAGTGATTTGTTCTTTCCTAACCTAAACAATTGGTGGTCATATAGAAATAACAATTATTATGAGAAACATATTAAGCGACTTAATTGAAATTTACACAGACCAATTAATAAAAGGATACGAGCATTATTTTTGTGAGTATAGTATGAGTTGTTATAGTGGTTGTATCGCTGGTGAGATTGAATACGGGTCAAATTAACTTTTGTTTATTAATATTATTATCTTATAATATGATTAAACATTGTTTTATAATCTAACAAGAAGGTTAAGACATTTAAATTAAACCTGAAACCCAGACCAGCCGACCAGCAACCCCCTAGCCAAAACTACTTAAAGAAATATTACCTTATATATTAAGAGAAAAATGAACGGTGATGGAATCAATAATTATATCGATAAAAAATGCTATGATTGTTGTCACTTCAAAAAAGAAAATATGGAATTGTATAAATTGAGTTTACCTAATGAAATAGTGAATAATATTATTAATTATTCAATGGATGGTGAAGAAGACATATGTAAAAATTGTAAAACTTGGAGAGATAATCAATTTTTAATCAAATGTCTGTTGGGAATAAAAAGAATACATAATAGAAATGTAGAAGATGATATTTTAATATTTCTAACTGTAAATAAAATACCACCTTACGATTGTGTTAAACAGTTTCTTAAAATCAGTAAGAAAAATATGACATGATTTACGATATATTATGGATGTTGGGTTATAGTCAAGAGAAAGGAGAAGATGTTAAAGAAAATATCAAATTATTTATTGAAAGTAAAAAGTTTAATGTTCAGAATACAGTGAGAGATGTTAATATTATTTTTAAAATGATGTATGAAAGAAGTAAGACAAACCAATTAGATTATTATCCTGAACTGAAATTATAATCATAATATAATAATAACATGTAAAATCTTATATGTTATAATTATACTGAACTTTTAACCTATAAAACATAGCTAGACAATCACATAAAAATCACATAAAAAGAAGTTGTTAAGATATATTAAGAATGGTTGTGAAGCAAACTATAATGAATAATTATGGAATGACAGAAGAAAAAGCAAAAGAAGACTTTGGTGAATTCTTCAAATGTAGCAGATGCCTTTATGATAAAACAATTGATGAATTTGGAAATGTAAAAAGTGGAAGAAGATATAAATATTGTCAAGAGTGTAGAACAAAAATAAATAATTGTAGAGATAAACGTCAAAGAAACAAACGACCCACCAACACCCCAGAACTTGATAACTACTAAAAGGGTTAACTCTTTCAAATGAAAAAAATGTCGGCCCCCAGCCCAACAATGAACAAGGCGACAATTTACCCAAATGATTACCTTAACGAAAACGATAAATAAGCTCCCCAAAAACCCTCTTTTAAAAACGGATAAGGTGGTTAATAGGTTTGAGATGAACATAAAAACCAGAACAGGCAACCATCAACAGGCTTCCCCCCAGGCCCCCTACTTTCCCATCCACCCACCCCCACCCCACCCCCACCCCCACCCCCACCCCCACCCCCACCCCCACCCCCACCCCCACCCCCACCCCCACCCCCACCCCCCCACACACACACACACACACACACACACACACACACACACACACACACACACACACACACACACACACACACACACACACACACACACACACACACACACACACACACACACACACACACACACACACACACACACACACACACACACACACACACACACACACATACACACACACACACACACACACACACACACACACACACACACACACACACACACACACACACACACACACACACACACACACACACACACACACACACACACACACACACACACACACACACACACACACACACACACACACACACACACACACACACACACACACACACACACACACACACACACACACACACACACACACACACACACACACACACACACACACACACACACACACACACACACACACACACACACACACACACACACACACACACACACACACACACACACACACACACACACACACACACACACACACACACACACACACACACACACCCTGGCAGACGCGTGCACAAACACGTTGTGATTCGAGCTGGTCAAGTACTGCGCTTGTACTCAAAACAGTTGCAACTGTCCAACTGAAGCTGTGAAAGCGTATGTAAAATAATTCCTAGAATTCGTTCATCGGGCTTTACTGCGCTCACATGCAAGACGCCCACACACACACACACACACAGACGCAGACCTGCAGGCAGAAGCAGCAGCAAAGCATTTGGAGGCAAGCTGCGTTGAGCTGCGAATTCGATGGACTTGAAGAACGTGAGAATCAGTCACAACTTGTCACAGCATGTTGTCAGACATGAGCTTGCCAATGCGGCAGGAAGCTGGCCGCGAGCAACTGGCAAGCCACTTGCAGCTTGCTAAGACAGGTAGAAAGCGCCCCGGGCAAAGGGTTTGCCGCACGTTTGCTTCTGGCCCAGGCGCAGGCTGGTGCAAGACTGCCGCAAAGATGCCAGGAAGCAGGAGAAGGTGCGGCTTCGGAGGACTCGCCCCCCCCAGATGCTGTCCTTGGGTGCAGGAGATGGCCACTCGAATGCTAGGCGCAGATTGCGACTGGCCACTTTGGCCAAGTGCAAGTTGCCAGGTGCCCAACCGCACGCTGGCGACTCCTCCATGGCTGGCTGGTGTCCTAGGGTATGGCACGAGGGAAAGGGGCACCGGGACCTAGGGGCAAGTGCTCCAGCTCCGCACCTAGGATTGGACTCCATGGACTAAGGGGTCGCATGCTTCGATTTCGGCCGGCTTCTTCAGGCCCAAAGGGAACGCATGAAGGACCCGTTTCAGCGCTCGCACGTCTGCAGAAACATCTCAAGCGTGTTTCCATCAGCCTTGCATCGCAAGTGCTGTAGCATTGTCATGGGATTAGGCCTGACAGCCGTGGGAACTCGGGTAGATGTCACAGCTGCCTTCTTTGCATCCGACAGACCGGTTTCGCCGATTTCATGTCGAGTAGTCCATGTCTGTTCCTGGTGCCAGGCGTGCAGAGCAGCTTGACCGTCCAAAGGCGTGCCAAGCGCATTGCCTGCCAGAGCAGATGGGACTTTTGCCAGCAAAAGCGGCAAAAGAGCGGATCGCATGATGATCTGCTTGTGCATGTTTAGGAATCCAGAATTCAGTCGCAGCTTGAATTGTCTCAGCGCTTTGTCGGAACCTCCGTTCAAGCTCAGAGCGTGCCCAATGTTGCTGATCGTGACGGGCGTTTGTTGCAATGCGTGACGGCAGTCTGGCTTACAGGGGCTCAAAGGATTTTGGCGGTCCAGCGATTTTGGCGGTCGCTCCACCTTGGGGATCCGATGGAATCCCCAAGTCCGCCGAGCGACATCCTTTCACGTGCTCGAAGTCAACGCAGCGAGACGTTGCGAGTGATGGGCCACCGCTAGCCGGAAACCCGTCAAGCAAGACCCAAAATGACAATACTCTGCAAGGGTGAAAGGCATGCGAAGCGCCGCCTTGAATGAAAGATCATGTCATGCACAAGGTTGGCGGTTGGAAAGACAGGGCAAACCTCATTGATACGAGTCGGTCCATACAAGCCTTGGGTCAAAGAGGAAGGTGGACGGAGGCACTGGGGGTATTCCTGAGTGCTGGCCACAACGCTCTGGAGTATGACATCGTATTTCTGAACATCCTGCTTGGCACGCTCTGCGCGCGTGGTGTTTGGCCTGCTGCGCTTGGGATGCTTGCGGAGACGGTGGATGTTTGCGGATGGAATACGCTGCTTCAAGGTTCTGGCCGTGCCCAATCCTGGGCTTTTACGCTGGATGCGCTTGAGCACATGGCCTGCACGGTAGGAACCGACGAGACGAGCTTCAACACGGCGATCGCATCAGTGAAGGTGTGGCAACTCGCAGCGTCTATTCTTGCAGAGATGTCGCAGGCGAGACTTCGCAGCGATGTGCTTGGTCACACTGCAGCCGTGTCGGCATGCGTACCAAGTGAAGACGACGAAGCTCGTGAAACGTGGCGCCAAGCGGTGTCGCAGCTGGGCAGCATGGCAGCAGCGAGCCTTTCGGCTAACCCGGTCACCTGGGGTGCTTGCATCAGCAGCGCCCGGGCAGTGTGCCCAGCCCTAAGCACTTGCAAAGCAATCCGGAATTCATCCCCAAAAGATTGCTGGAGAGGCTGGCGGCTGGCTTCTCAGCTGCTGCAGGCGAGGCGAGGGACAACCGTGTCCTGAAGCTGAGTTCGTGAAACATGGCACTGGACGAAGTACTGAAGCCTTTGCAGGACTTTTACTCTCACAAGCTCCGCTCCAATGTCATTCTGCTCTCCTCCGCAGCTGTCGCCAGCCAAAAAGGCCAACGGCTCAGAGTGATGCTGGTCCAGTCAGCTGACAGAAAGCATGTATGGCTTGTCTGATTGTGGCGTGGCTGCTTCTTTTCTCACGACGTTCACAATTCTCTGAGGTGACCAATGGCAAGCCGCGCTGGCGCTCCTGCAAGAGGTGAACCAGCAGGCCGCTCACTGCAGGGAACGGGACGGGGCTGAGAGCGTTTTGGTCAGCAGCCCTGAGGACATGCAACCCAACAGCATACTGCTTGGGCCAGTGCTGCAAGCACATGGTGCCAGCCGTTGGGGGAGTGCATGGACCGTGCTGCAGGACATGCGTACGTGCTAGTTTTGCAGCGTATGTGTGGCTCGGGGATGGCTGGTTCAAACAAGAATCGCATCCTTCTCAGTGGGTCATTAGGCACCAGCAGCCCCCAAGCACACGAGTTCAGCTTGCAGGTTTGCGTGCTACCATGTGTCCGCAGCCATTGAGGGCTCGCCGATGCTTGAAAGAATTGAGTCACCTTCATTCAGCAACCCCTGCAATTGCCATGGTTACAGCCCCTCTAAAGGGAAAGGCGGCTTGGAGAAGAGATGAGGGACGGTTCCAGGCGCGAGGGGGAGGTCATCAAGCCATGGCTTCTGCTGGCCTGGCAATCTTGAAGCGGGATGTTGCAGCCAGCATTCTGCAAAAGATGGAGGTGCGGAGCCATGCGGAGCCACACAAACCGCAACAAACCGAATGCCTTTCGCTTGCTGCTTGCCATGCGAAAATCTTTGGCCATCCACTGATGCGGTTTCCTTTTTGGGAAGTAGAAGTCAGTGTCGGGGTCTTCTTTCAGGAGGCTCCAGCCACACCAGCAGAACCTTTCCAAACTGAGTTCACGGGATTTTCTCCGCAAGGTGCCAGCCGCAGCCGAAACACTTGCTGAGATGAAGACCACCGTTCCTTGGAGGCCAAGCGAGTCAAGCCGGGTGCTAGGAACCTGAGAAACAGCTGAGCTGCAGAGCTAGTGACAAGCGACCAGTTTGCACATGTCGTGGCTGTGGGTCAACACCAATGGTACCATTTTGGGGCAGGTGCACCACCCATTTTAGTTATTTTAGTGGGGATTGGGATGTTCACTGGGGGTACGGGGTTTTGACCCATGGCCATGCGAGTAGGTCTGCCAAAAGGGAGCCACTAGAAACATCCATGGACCTGGGAGCCGGACGAGTTCGGTCACTTTTGTCGCCCTGCGCCCTGCCAAGGTTGCCGCCCAGCTCCTCTCCAAGCGCCTCCGCTTTGTTTTTGCTTTTTCTGCCTGGGCTCAAAATTCCTCCGGACGCAAGCCGTACGCTCGTGCGCTGCGAGCGACGGAGGAGTGAGTTCTGCGGCATCTTCCCACACACCGCCCGCGCCTAGGATGGTGGAGGACGACCAGCACGACAGAGCTGCCCAGATCCTCGCGGAGATGGGCAGCGGTGGCGCTGACATCACGGCCGAGCTACGAGCGTCCACTGCTGGCTGGACGGTGCTGTGGGATTTCGGCTTTCTGCAAGCTGGGGAGACATTCTCAACAAGCTGGGGAGACGTTCTCAACCTAAGCTGGGGAGACGTTCTCACCAAACTCAGCCATTGTTTTAATGGGGGCAGTTGAGCAGTTGGAGCATTCCTTTCCGCATTTTCCGTTCAGGATCTTTGCCCAACTGGAAGCTCCAGCTGCTGCCACAATCATCGGAGAGATGGCCTATGTTGGGGCAGGCGGCAAGACGGTGTGTTCAAGAGACGCAGGGCATTCATCAATTTGCTTGTGGGCATGTCCTAATTTCCACTTTGGCGTCAGTTGGGAGGGACGAATCGTCATGTGCACGCTGGCACGGGATGCGGAAAGCGACATGGATGCACAGTGAGCCACCTCGGCAGGCCGCATCTTGGCGGAATTGGAGCCGAGCCATGCCATGCAGATCTTGCTGGAGTTGGACACTGAGAATGCCGCCGGGCTGAATCCGAATTCTGGGAAGGGAAATGGAGGGAGCAGCGGCTGAGAGGCGCTAAACCTGCTAACCAGAGCATGCAAACAATTGTCCCTGCAACCTGACTAGTCCTTCTTGGCCTGGACATGGTCCTTCACTTAAACATTGTGTAAGCAGTACAAGTGCTTTCTCATTTTGGTCTTGGGGCCCCCAGGGTCCCCGCGGGGGGCTTGCCAACCAATAATCTGCGGCCAGGCGGCTTACGTGTTAGACGACATGGACACCCCGCCCGCCGTGCGCGTTCTCGGCGCCATGGAGCACGACCAAGCCGCGGCGCTGGCGGCTCAGATGGTGCCGGACGCGGCGGCGCCGGTCTTCGCGCGGATGGAGTACGACGACGCCGCGGGGATCGTGGCCGAGATGGGCCATGAAGCAGCGGCGGGCGTGATTCAAGAGATGGAACCCGAGCCCCGGCGGAGAGATGCCTCCCTGCCCTTTGATGTTGCCCCAGCCACGGGGTACTGTTTCTGCGTTGCTTGAGATTCTGGGCATGGAGAGCGTTCCGTAGCGCTAGCCATGGATGGAGTCTGGGGCGCCAGCAAAAGCAGCACGCCTGAGACCAGGTACCCACTCACATAGCAAGCCCGACTGGTGGGGTGTTGGGCAGATATCAGGTACAAAGCCAGGCTCTTCTGCTTCTCAGGATGCTGCGGCTGGCATCTTGCACGAGATGGATCCAGCAGGGGCGGTGGGAAAGCCCAGCTTCCCAATGTGCTGCGAGCCAAAACCGCCGGGTTCAACCCCGATTCGAGCACTTTTCAGGCGGAGGTCGTGGCTGTGATGGACTATGACGATGGCCGCGGGCTTTCTTTCTTTGGCGCCGCCTGCATTTTGTGAAGTGGCCAGCCAGGTGCCGCCTTCATCCTCTCAGAGCCACAGCCCCAGCGCCGACGGTGGCCAGCGGTTGAACGCCAATGCCTGTCGCGATGTTTCCAGGTTGGACCCTGAACCAGCTTCGAAGATCGTAGCTGCGCTCGAGGCTATTTGGGCCATCTGGATTCTCAAAAAAGCAATCCAACCCTGAGAGGAGAGCGTGGCAGCCGGCATTATGGCCGAAATGGAATTTGAGACTGCAGCTGCTATTCTTCAGGAGACCTTGGCGCTTGTTTCTCACTTGTCCGGTGGGGTCTGCCACTTGCTTGGTTTTCAGCGCATTTGAAGAGGAGATGGCGTATGACGCAGCTTCCAACGTATTGGCCAAGATGGAGCCGGCCACGGCGGCTGGGGCAGTGTCGCTGATGGAGCCTTGACTGAGACACCAGGAATGGACCGCAGGTCTTAGTCTTTGGTTCCATTTACCAGGGTTCCATTTTGGGTACCTATTTTTTGACCCACTGCCATGTGTGCAGATTCAGTCCTGTTTTGGTGGTGATCAGGAAGCCGAACCAGCGGCTCACGTGATGATGGCGGCACAGTCCTACGCGAACGCCGCCAAGATTGTCAGCAAGCTGACTGAGGAGTGCGCTGCGGCTTGGCACTCCGTGCTTCCTTCTGGCTATTTGTTCAGATCCTTGGTTTTTTTCCTTTTTGGGGCAACAGTGGTTTTTCCATCGGATGCACAACAAGTCAACCTTTGCAGAGGGGTCAGCAACCAAGATGCTTATGGATCCCTCCCGACGTTCACATTGACTGCTCAAAGGCCCGTCAAACCGTCCGTCAGAATCCAGCACTGTGCCCAGGCAGAGGTGTTTTCTGAGATGGAAGTGGAAGCAGCTGCCGGCATAGCCAGCGAAATGGAGTACGAGTCTGCGGCAAATGGGCTTGCCTTGATGCACGACAGAGCCTCAGAGCCTCAGATTTGTCCCATGTTGGTTGGTGCGGGGGGGCGATTTGTGTGAAGCTGAAGGCAGAAGATGCGGCGAATCTCGTGTCGGCCGTGGAATCTTATGAAGATGCCGCTGGAATGCTGAGTGGCCTATTTGAAGTTTCAGTGGAATGCACAAAAGCGTTTCGAACGTGCCTGTGTTTTTGAGGCGAAATGGAATACGAAGACGCAGCCGCCCTGGTTGCCCATTTGGATGCGTCCACTGCGGGGTACATCCTGGGAGAGCTTGAGCATGACAGCGCCAGTGGGATCCCTTGAATGCACTGGTTCCGTTTTGATTGTGGTCAAAGGCACCTTTTTGCCCGTGCAGGGAACGGTGCTGAGGAGGGCAACCCTTTTTTCTTGCGCGGCGCTTTCGCGTGTGATGCTGAGGATCCTGGCTGAGATGGACGCGCCAGCTGCTGGTGCTGCCCTTGCCTATATGGAGCAGCAATGTCGCATTTGAGAGCGTTTTTCATGACACATGCCACATGCTGCCTCGCTTTGTCAACAGTCAGCCAGCCAGCCGATCAGTCCGATGCTACCCATCCATCCATCCATCGATGCGTCCATACATCCATCCATCCATCCATCCATCCATCCATGCATCCATCCATCCATCCATCCATCCATCCATCCATGCATGCATGCATGCATGCATGCATCCATCCATCCATGCATGCATGCATCCATCCATCCATCCATCCCTCCCTCCCTCCCTCCGTACGTACGTACATGCATGCATGCATGCATACAAACATACATACATGACATGACATGACATTACATTACATTGCAGTACATTCCAGTACAGTACAGTACATTACATTACATTTTACATAACATACATACATACATACGCACACACACACACACACATTCTTACATGCACACACGGTGATTTGCATATTTGCTTACTTTCGTTTCGGCGCTCATTTTGACAGGTGGTTCGGCGCTGATTAGTTGCTTAGTTAGTTGTTTTCTTGGATTCTTGGTCAGTTGGTGAGTTTGTTAGTCAGTTGGCTGGACCTTTCTTTTTGTGGTTAACCAGTAGCCAACCTTTGTCAAATCATTCGGGCAGTGGAACAGCGAACCGCGTTTTTGATGGTTGAGCTTTGCTCTGAACATGTTCAGTATCCACTCTGACCTCACTTCCATGCAAGCATCGACCGACGCGGTGGCAGTTCGCACACGTTGTCCCTCATGATCATATTCCCGAATTGTTGCGCAGGCTGCGGAGCCATGTTAGCAATAGGACCAGTGGCAAGAAGGCTCCTTTTTGCAGCGTTCTTGCCCACGTCTGTGTTCCAGCCTCTTCGTTTTGAGCTGGATCCGGCGGAGTTAGCTTTCGTTTGTGTGCTTTTTCCGCTTCGCACCCTGGCACAGCGGCTATTTCCACAGTTTGCGTCGCGAGTCTCATGGCCCGGTAGGTGGCTCGATATAGCGGCAGCGACCATTGTCTTCTTCCCGAGCCCCCTTGCCAGAGAGCAGCGGAGCCTTTCCCTTCACCACGGTTAGGTGTTTCTTGTGCTTTCTTTGGTTGCGGTACTCATGGACAAAGCCAGTCAGGTTCAGATTTGATTTGCGGTCACCCAGGTATGCTGATGCTGCCGAGGCCCTTTGCAAGATGGACACCGGGGCGGCAGAGGCGCAGAAAGGCGCCGTTTGCACTCCCCGTTTGTGCTTTTTGTGCTTGAAGGTGCTCGGCGCAATGGAGTACGAAGATGCGGCAGGGGTGATCTCACAAGCGGAAGCTCGTCCAACCAGCCAGCCAGGCAAATCAGGACGTTCGCGCTGATTTGATGCTGAGGGTGCGTCGGCTGCGGCTGGCATCCTCGCTGACATGGAGCATGCGGCTGCTGGGGCTGTCCTGGCAGAGATGGAGTACCATGAGGCCGGTGTGGAATCGCATATTTACAGGCTATCTTTGCAAGTCTATCGGCAGGCGGCGCCTATCCTTGCAGCTATGGAGGAAGAGACCGCTGGTGAAGTGGTGTCCGAAATGGAATATGATGCTACAGCTTACATTTTGGGAGAGATGGACTACGACATCGCGGCCAACATTCTGGCCAAAGTGGAGGCACGCAGTCCCAACCTTGAGCTTTTGGCCAGAAAATCCGAAGGGCCTGGGGCACGGCATGGCACGACAAATTGCTTCTCCGTTAGAAACGAAACTTTCCGGCAGTTTGCCAGTACGGATCTGCGAGCGCCGAACAGAGTACGTAGGAAATTGGAGGGTGATCTGATAAGGAACCATGCGTAATCAGATCAGTACATAGTTTCGGGCACGCTTCTCTCACAGCGAGTTGGACAACCTCATGTGATGGGACAGGTAGCTTTGGCTTGGATTTTGCACGGCCTTCTGCCTTCATGTTGGCCCCCGGAATAGAGCCTTCACGCAGTTGTCCGCTTCCGTTTCTGCAAACTCAAGACAGCTCTTTGGTGCAGCTGACCATGGTTTGCATCCTGATGATGGAATATGAGCAAGTCATGCCTCGCAAATCCGCTTGTAAAGGTTTTGTTGGATTGCCTTTGTTTTGCATTTACGCTCGTTCGCATCATCCATGCGCAGCTTGATAATGCCTTGCGTGAGCATAGGCCTACCATGGTGCCGGCATTGTCGCAGAGATGGATTGTGGCGAAGCCGCGAGCGTTCTCATGGCTGTCCCGCCCTTAAAGTTGTCTTGCGCGCTCGAACTTTGCTGGTGAAAAGTGCCTCGGGGCACCCCATGCTTGCCCTCGTTGGGTGGCATGTAGCCGCCAAAGTGATACACGAGTGATGCGCTTGCCTGCCCAGGCACAGTCCTATGCCAGCGCAGCTCGCGCCTTACGCCACCCTTTGCATTATCACAAGTGGAAGGGAAGCCGGAAGCACCAGCGATTGAGGCATGCATCGTTGCAGAAATGGAGGCCGTTGATGCTGCAAAGGTTATGGCAGAAATGGAGGCGCGCTGATTCAGTCCACGCTTACCTCCGGTGCCTGGTGCGACTGCCAGACTTTTGCGAGGCTCCTGCAGCAGCTGGTGTGATCGCCGATCTCGAGTACAGCAATTCAGCTGACATTCTGTGCCTGTGGCCTTGGACGATTGTTTTCGTGTGAGCACGCACGGTGCGTTGCACCATGTTGTTCTATTACAGCTGCAGTACGGGTTTGTCTACCTTTCTTGGGTTGGATTAAAGGTAAACCAAAAGGAGCCCACCCAGCCCCCGCCCTCTATTTAGAAACACCTATGTGCTCAAAGACGGGACTGCGCGCAATGCATCTTGGCAGGTGCAAGCTGAAAGCTGACCTGGTGGCCGCCATCGTGGCGGAGCTGGAGCTCTGCCCTTGGCTCTGACCCGTGCGGTTTTGGTCCACCGCACGCCGCGAGGTACCACGACGCCGCCGGCATCATCGGCAGGCTCGACCTGGGCAGAGCTGTGGCTGTACTCAAGGGCGTGGACGCTGGCGGCGGCGAGGGCATTCTGCAGGCTGGGAGAGACATGCTGACATGCGGATTGGCCGGTGGAAAGGCGGAACGCAGGCAGGTCAACTCTCAAAGCCATGCAGCCAGCGAACTGAACATGTCCTCCTGGTAGCTTGACTTGAGTTGACTCCCATTGAGTAGATGCCAACATGGTCATCATGAGTTCCTGCAAGCATAGTGCCTCCTGTACATCGACTCGGCCCCAAGCACCATAGTGTCACCTCTGGCAAGGCCTTCTTGAGTGCGAAGTTGAAGACGTCTTTTTTTCTTTGCTCGTGAGGAGCTCGAAGATCGGCACATCTCAGAGCAGATCCGCGCTCGCCTGGCAAAGCGACCTCGCAAAGCGTGAGAAAGCTGGGGGCCGGGCGTGCGGTCTAGGTGCCTTTCATGTTTTAAGTACATTCGCTTAGGTGTAGGTTCTACGCATGCGTAGAGAGGCGAAGAAGTGAGTTTTAAATCCCTTTTGGGACATGCTGACTTGTCAAAGCACAAGTTCCATGCCAACTTAGCCGAGTTGCAGAGCACAGGCCGATTGACGTGGTTGGCACGCCGTTTGAACGTGGAGCGGCCACGTGGGCTCGATGGCTTTACCATTCTGCCTGTGGAGTGCAAAACGCGGGCCGCTTTCAGAGCTGCAGTTGCTACAGCTGTTTGGAGGTGCCATTGAAGCGCACGTGCCATGCAGGATGCGCGGCAAATGCAGATACAAGTCAGCAGCCGGCTGCTGAGATTGATCCGAGACACGTGCTATGCGCGCTTTTGCAAATGCATTGCAGAAGCTTAGCTGGGAGGTGTGCTCATGGGGATTCTGGGCAGCATCGAGCAGCCTTGGGTGAAGGCCGCACAGAAACTCGGCTGATGGCTCACTCACCTTTTGCCAGGCGCTGCATGTGGGCGACTCGGCCAGATCCAGCCAAGCCTTGCAAGCTGGCGATGGAGGGAGGAAGGCTGCTGTTGGCAGCTGCCTCGGGAGCCAAGTTTGAGTTGAATTTGTTGGAAGAGAGGCATTTTGTTCGCATGCCTGAGGCACCCTCAGTCGGCTGTGCTGGGAGGCCAGGAATGGTAGCTAAAAAACAGCCACTTTCCCCGAGTTTCTGGAGGTTTTCTAGAAAGAATGGTCCCTGGAAAGAATGGGGGAGGTACCCTAGAGGAATGGTAGCTGAGAAAGCAGCGACTTGCATAGCTGCCAGATGGCTCTTCAGCTGCGTGTGGAGGACTCACACTGCAACTGCGGCACCTGGGGGCCCCAAATGGCCAGGGCTAACTTTCCCTGTTCAATGGGGAGTGTCGACATTTTTTGTGGTTTTCCAACCAAAGGTCATTCCATGTTTTTCTGGACCTTTTGATCAACAGCCATCCTTGAAGGATCTCGAATCGAAACTGTGAAGTAGCATGGAGCCTGACAGCGGGGTGGAAGACCATTTGCCTTTTACACGGACCCCCTGTCAGGTGCCATGTTAATTGAGTGGCTTTGTTGAAATGTTGGTCAGCATCATGAGACTTGGGATCACCCAGGAAACCGAGTGATTCATGAAGCAAGTGCCATGGTGGCAGAAGGGCCCCTTCGACATCGAAATGCGGTCAACTTGCCAGCTGCCGTGGCTGGAAAGATGAGCTGCCTCTTTTGTTTTCTTGCCCAAAAGCGGCGCGGCATTGACAGGAGAGCCCCGCGGCCTACACTGCGGCCATTGCTGCTTGCGCGCGCGCTCGAGAAAGAGTTCGCGCTGCTGCGCTGCTGGCGGAGCCGTGGGCTTACGACATGGGAATTGGGGTTGTCCCAGATTCGCAGAATGGCTTGGTTTCCTTTTGGTTGTCCCTTAAAACCGCGCTCAAATGAGTACCATTGAAAAAAGAGAGAGACCTCCACTTGGGAAGCCTTGACGGTTGGCAAAGAGGTAGAGGAAAGAGTCACTGCATCCTTCCAAGCCCCAAGCGGCTGAGGGGTGTTCAATGTACCAACTCTTGGCAAGGCGGGGCGGTGCCAACTTAGGATGCGCCTGGCGGACGTGGAAGTCGATCCCATGGCGCAAGGCCGGAAAAAGAACCGCCGGGAGCCCGAGAGCCTGAGAGCGCGGCTCAGGTGCAGCCCTTTCTCTTGTCCAATCCTGGCAGATGGCCCTCAGCAGTGACTTGCCAGATCCGGCGTGTCAGACCCTGGCCATCTCCGCGTGCCAGGGCTCAGGGCGTTGGGATGTGGCTTTCTTCCTACTCGAGATGGCAGATGCATCCAGTGCATCGATCAGTGCCAGAAACGCTGCGCTTAGCACCTGCCAAAAGAAGTCCGCATGGGCACAAAGCCTGCGGCTTCTGCTGGAGACCCTGCAGCTTGGGTTCCGGACCGACGTGTTCACTTGGACATCCAGCATCGGCAGCTGCTCACGCGCAAGTCCATGGCGCTGGTCTGCCCACTTGATGCAGGTCATGGCAACCGCGCATCTGCCGCCAACCTTGCTGGCAGTATCAGAAGCAGCATCGACTGGGGGTGAAGCGCCGGCACAGCTTCTGGAAGCATTGCAGGCAGCTGCTTTGGCAAGCCCGTCCCTGCGTGGAATATGAGAGCTGCAAGCACTTTGGCGAGTGCCTGCAAGTGCATGGCCTGCGACTCAAGACTCACTGCGAGGGCAAACAAGGCGCTATGGGGTGGGGCAGTGTAACAGAAGGGTTGTAGGAATATGGCTGGCAAGAGTCGGCGCCCTCTCAATGGCTTTTCCTGAACTGGACTTTAAAGCTTCCGTGCCATTGCAGTGTGTCGCGCAACCCTGATCACCGGTTTTTTGTGCCTGCAGACCTGGTTGGTTTTCCCGCTCTCAGTCTGGAAGTTGTGAAGAATCGAGTGCCATTTCCCGCAGCTTGGGTTCTCGGGGGCCCTTCTGCAATGTCGCGCGCGCCCAGCGCCAGCTCCACGCGGCCGAGGCGCCGCAGCTCGTCCGTGTGCCTCAGGAGCCCTCTGCCGAGCCCTCTGCCAAGCAGACGCCAGAGCTCGGCATTGGAGGAGTATCCTCAGACAGCGGTCACGCGTGCCATCTACCACCATGCGCGCGAGTTTCTGGCCAAGGCCGGCGGGGCAGCTCCGCAGAAGCGAGGCTATTTAGCCATGGCGGCGGTGCGCCGAGCCGCGCGCGCCGTGATCATAGAAAGCACCGTGGTGCAAGTTGTGATCCGATGCGTGGAACGGAGGAAGCAGCTACAAGCCAAGGAAGCCGACGAGAAGTGGAAGATGTGCGATGCCAAGCTTCTCTTCGGTGGGCAAATGGGCATTGAGTCCGCACGAAGAATCTCCCAGCTGCTGGGGGACATGCTGGCCGGCTTCGAAGGCTCCGACGACGTCCGCAGCCGCTTCTTGAACGTCGCCAGCACCTTCGACGCCTCGGAGACCTCCCTGAAGCAGCTGGAGGCCTCCTTCGTGGAGAACCTGGACGGCCTGCAGGCCATGCGCGAGAACTTCGACCGATGCACGGAGGAGGTCATCCGCCTGGTCAGCCTCCTGGAGGGCGATTGCAACAACATGCGCCTGCAGCTCCACCGGACCCTGCGCAGCCCCCGGGCGCGCATGAACCGCAACCTCTTTGGCCTCGAGCAGCTGGGGAAGAGCCGGATCCTGAACCGCGAGCCGAGCTCAGAGCCGGACCACATCAGCCACCTTCTCAGCACCTTGGAGCGCGACCTCTGCGACATGCCCCTGGAAGCTGTGGTCCAAGTGGCCCAAGATGTCAACGACCACATTGTGAAGCAGCTTGCAGACAGCGGCAAGTTGGAAGTCTCACCTAGGGCTTTGCCAATGGATGAGCTTGCTGTGGGCAAGGCTCCGTCAATAGTCGTGGAGCAGATGTTTGAGACCTTGAAGCCATTCATATTTGAGGAGAGAGACAATGACCAGGCAGGGAAAGGAGTGAGAAGACCATCTAGGGAACCAATGGGGGATGCGCCTGGGCAGGGTTCAGCACCGTCCAAGGGCAAGACAGTGACCGGCAGAGAAGCTCGGGCAGACCCTGCGATAGCCATGTCGCCTACCAGCCCCATCCGACCTCCGGTGGATATTTCCTTCGCCTGTGCGCAGCTGGCGCACAACAACGCGCTCTCTAGAGAGCCTTTGGCACCTTTGGACTTGGGCAAGAAGATCGACAGCTCAACGACTGGCGGTGCCAGTGCGGCCGGTACTTCCAGCCTGCCCTTGGCATCAGATAGTGGTGCATTCTCGGGTCTTCAGCGCCAGAGGCTGAAGCCGGTCGGCGAGGCAGCATCGACCAGAGGTGCATCCGAGGCAAGAGGCAGCACTGGCGGCATTCCGGAGCTGCCAGGCTACGTTGGGGAGCAGGGGCGCGAGGGAAATATCACACATGCCGGGCATGGGCAGGCAGGTCAGGAGCATGGGGGCCATGCTTCCTCACCAAGCCGTGCTGTCTTCGGCTCCCCGGAGCATGGCGACCATGTGCCGCTGGGCAAAGCAGGTCATGAAGCGGCGAGCCTGTCGCCCGAACATGCGGGTGGTGACAAGGTGCTACACCAATCCAGGTCCATTTTAGGCGGGGTCGCAGAAAGCCGTTCCAGCCAACCCAATGAGAGAAGACTCAACGCGGATGTCGTTCTCGAAAGGCAGGGAGAGCATCACCACACAAGTGGTCAATCTGGAGAGATGCACTCGGCGTACAACATGCCGGAGCACATGCCAACTCAAGAGCCTGGTAGCCTGCCCACAGCGGCTGATCCTTCAGAATTATCAACCCATTTCGGTTCTCCCTCACTGGGAAAGGGCAGGTCCAGTGCTGAAAAGAGTAGTGACAAGCTACCTCAGCTCCACCCCAGCCGGCCAGGCACAGCGGACAGCCACTTGAGCCCAACCAGCAACATCAGCCACCCTAGTCACGCAAGTCACGCGAGTTACGGCCACGGCCACGTGAGCCACGTGAGCCACCTGAGCCACAGCCACGCGAGCCGAGAGACACAGGCCAAGCAGCAGTCGCGAGGCGGGTCAAAGGAGGAACCTTCAAGTTCAAGGAGAGGGGTGAAAGGGTTTTCAACGGCGGTTGAAGCAGCAACAACATACACAAAACCGGGTGTGCTTACCATCTGGCAGGCGTGCGTACAGTGCTGAGCGGGTGCACTTGAGAGGGTGTGCTTACCATCTGGCAGGCGTGCGTACAGTGCTGAGCGGGTGCACTTGAGAGGGTGTGCTTACCATCTGGCAGGCGTGCGTACAGTGCTGAGCGGGTGCACTTGAGAGGGTGTGCTTACCATCTGGCAGGCGTGCGTACAGTGCTGAGCGGGTGCACTTGAGAGGGTGTGCTTACCATGGCAGGCGTGTGTGCTGAGCCAGTGTGCTGGCAGTGCGTACAGTAGCAGAGCTGGCAGGTGGTGCAGCTGCAGGTGGTGCCATTTGGCAGTGCGTACAGTGCTGAGCGGGTGCACTTGAGAGGGTGTGCTGACCATGTGGCAGGCGTGTGTACAGTGCTGAGCGGGTGCACTTGCGAGGGTGTGCTGACCATGTGGCAGGCGTGTGTACAGTGCTGAGGTGCACTTGAGCAGGTGGTGCCATTTGGCAGGGGTGCGTAAAGTGCTGAGCGGGTGCGCTTGAGCGGGTGTCCTTGTGGGCAGGCGTGCGCACGGTGCTGAGCAGGCGCGCTTGAGCGGGTGTGCTTAGCATGTGGGCTGAGCGGGTGTGCGTTCCTTTTGGCAGGCGTGCGTGCAGTGCTGAGCGGGTGCGCTTGAGAGGGTGTGCTGACCATTTGGCAGGCGTGTGTAGAGTGCTGAGGTGGCGCGCTTGAGCAGGTGGTGCCATTTGGCAGGCGTGCGTACGGTGCTGAGTGGGCGCGCTTGAGCGGGCGTGCTTAGCATTTGGGCTGTGTGCGTACCTTTTGGCAGGCGTGCCTGCAGTGCTGAGCGGGTGCACTTGAGAGGGTGTGCTGACCATTCGGCAGCTTTTGCAACAAAACGGCCAAGAAGGGGCGGGGTTGCCCGAAAATTTGAACTAGCGCGCGCGATGTTGGCAAAAACGCTGCCGGACATGCGACTCAAAACATCGTGCTGAGATGAGAGTGCCAAAGATCAGCGAAGCAACGTGCATGGCGAAATGGATCTCACACGCCCGACGTGCTGCGTTTTACAGTATGTCGCGCTGCGAAAAATCCCGGGACGGTGGCAGTGGCGGAGGGTGTGGTGGTGATTATGATGACGATGATGATGATGATCATGATGGTGGTGGTGGTGGCTGCTGCTGCTGCGGATGCTGACAGCGAGGATGAGGATGACGATGATGACGCTGCGGCTCGCTCCCTTGACGTTGGCCATGGTGATTCGTATTGATGGCTTGAGGGTGGTTCAGAAAACGTGATGGCCACATAAAGTCTTTTTCCAATCATGGACTTACGATGGCAGCCCTGGCAGGAGGCGACCCGCACGGAGTCCTGTTCCAAGCGAGGGTGAGTTCTCACGCTTTCTGGCAGTGGACAAAGGCTGGAGATGTGATGCCACGGGTTCGTGGCTTGCCATGCTGAAAGGAAGGAGAGAAATACTTCAGCTTCTTTGATCACGGCGGTGGCTGAGCATGTAAGGGCATGTCTCAAGTCAAATATTTTTCTCTAGATAGACATGTGGCGTAGAGGGCTTAAAAGCGACACTCAGACAAAAATGCCCAGTCATCGCCATCGATATTTGCAGAAAACTGTGCATGGCAGGTTACGAGGAGCAGATGTCCGTTGGCCCCTTCATGGGTTCCCCACTGCTGGTGAGGAAGTCAAAGATAGCAGAGCGACCCAGAAGGCAGACCTTGTTTGGGCCGCCAAGATGCATAATTTCGGGGCTGATATGTGTTGCTGTTGACCGCCTCTAATGCGGCGCTACCACTAGCTATGTTGTGGCCGGGCTCAGGAATGCTTCGGAGCCCGCGTTGCTCAAGCAGCATGCAGAGACTCTTCGGCGTCCACGGGGTTTGCCAGCTCCAACGTTTGGACCTGCTGCTCAGCATAGTACTGCACGATTTCCTCCCCAGTTGTGCGAGAGGGACCCCTTAGATGGAACCGTGCAGAGTGTGAGGCTTCGGGGCTACCTTCGGCGATGGGACACAGTCATTCGGCAAACTTGTCGATGCTGCGACGCTTGCCTTGCACCATGATTGTCGTTCTTTGGATGTTCTCCTTTTGCGCGGGCGCTCCGGAGGGCAGGGGGGCAGGGGCTGCTTGACTGCATCCCAGTACAGACCCTTCAGGTGTACGGCCTGCATCGTTGGATGCAGATCATCGTTTTCAACATGGAAAACGAGATGCGCTACCGACTTTGGGCGTGGATGGAATTCAGGCATGGAACGCAAGCTTGCTCTGGGAGCGGAGTCAAGACGGGAGGGTCGAAACGCGGGCAAGTAAGATGTGGCAGATTTGGCAGCTGGCCAATGTGTCGAGGGTCGGCTAAGGCCAAGGAAATGAAGGGCACAGACTGAAAGATGAGCCAGGAAATGCAAGCACCGCTTTCCTTGTCAGGCCAGTCAGGCTCCAATGCATCGCAAGGCAGGGCCTGGCTATTACGGAGTGGCTAGCTATGTTTTGTTTTTTTGGGTCCCGCTGGTGAGAGCAAAGATTTGTGCCTCTCTCAGGCATCACCGGCGCGATCGTTGGAGAGTGCAAGTGAAGCTCCAGAGCATGAGCTTTTGCGTTGACCACTTTGCCTCGACAAGAAGGCTACGACCAGTGTGGTCAGATATTTGCCGAATGGCATTTCCCGCAAGCTCATCTGTGTTCATTTGCAATGCAGTGAGTTTTGGGTGGGGGAGCCGGCTCAAACGCTTTTTGACTGGCACTCTGCCACATACACGATTGCCAAGCGAAGCAAACACACGAGACGATTTGTGATGGTGTTTTGAAAAAACACTGTAATCATATTCAGGTGGACATCTGTAAAGTGCCGAACAGTTTCTCGGCCGGCCATCGAACAGGTGTTGGCTGAGCTGAGTTTGCTTCCATTGGCCAAGAGCTTCAAGCACAGTCACTTGAGCATTTCCCAAATTGCGCGAAGCGCACATCGTGTTTCACCTCGGGTCATTTTGCATGGAGTGAAGTAACAAAAAACGTTAAGCTTGTCGCAGACGTCGGGCTGGATGTCGCGCGCCGGGGGTGAGCATAGCCAGCGTCCAGGAACGGGCTTAAGGGTACACAAATCAACACGACCGTGCGAACTGCCACCGGCCAGAACAAGTATATAACATAATATACTGTATACGTATATAGGGAAACCATGTACAGAAGAATTGGCCACCAAACTGGAAATGTCCACTGCACGGCTGCCACCCCGCCAGCGCAGCTATGGGGCCGATAGGCCTGCTTTTGTCCATCTCTGGCTTGCACCAGCCAGACGTGTGGACTGCATCTCCGGGAGCCTTGGTGGCAAAAACTGACAAAAGTTGGCGCAAAGCATCGAAGAATGAAGGCGCAGCCGGCGACTCCCGCTCATGAATGAATGAATGGAATGGAATGGAATGGAATGGAATGGAATGGAATGGAATTGAATGGAATGGAATGGAGTTGAATGAATGAGTTCAATGAAATGAAATGAAATGAAATAAATGAAATGAAATAAAGAAAGAAAGAAAGAAATAATGAATGAAAGAATGAATGAATGAATGAATGAATGAATGAATGAATGAATGAATGAATGAATGAATGAATGCATGAATGAATGAATGAATGAAATGAATGAATTAATGAATGAATGAATGATTGAATGAATGATTCAATGAATGAATGAAATGAATGAATGAATGAATGAATGAATGAATGAATGAATGAATGAATGAATGAATGAATGAATGAATGAATGAATGAATGAATGAATGAATGAATGAATGAATGAATGAATGAATGAATGAATGAATGAATGAATGAATGAATGAATGAATGAATGAATGAATGAATGAATGAATGAATGAATGAATGAATGAATGAATGAATGAATGAATGAATGAATGAATGAATGAATGAATGAATGAATGAATGAATGAATGAATGAATGAATGAATGAATGAATGAATGAATGAATGAATGAATGAATGAATGAATGAATGAATGAATGAATGAATGAATGAATGAATGAATGAATGAATGAATGAATGAATGAATGAATGAATGAATGAATGAATGAATGAATGAATGAATGAATGAATGAATGAATGAATGAATGAATGAATGAATGAATGAATGAATGAATGAATGAATGAATGAATGAATGAATGAATGAATGAATGAATGAATGAATGAATGAACGAACGAACGAACGAACGAATGAATGAATGAATGGATGAATGGATGGATGGATGAATGAATGGATGGATGCATGAACAAATGAACGAATGAATGAATGAATGAATGAATGAATGAATGAATGAATGAATGAATGAATGAATGAATGAATGAATGAATGAATGAATGAATGAATGAAATGAATGAATGAATGAAATGAATGAATGAATGGACTGGAATCCACTGGAATGGACTGGACTGGACTGGAATGGAATGGAATGACATGAAATGAAAATACATTCAATGAAATGACATGAAACGAAATGACATGAAATGACATGAATGCACGAACGAACGAATGAAGGAAGGAAGAAAGGAAGGAAGGCAGGCCGGAAGGAAGAAAGGAAGGAATGAAGGAAGGAAGGAAGGAATTAATGAATGGAATGGAATGAATGGAGTGCAATGGAATGGAATGGAATGGAGTGGAATGGAATGGAATGGACCGGAATGGACCGGAATGGAATGGAATGGAATGGAATGGAAGGGAAGGGAAGGGAAGGGAAGGAATGAATGAATGAATGAATGAATGAATGAATGAATCAATCAATGAATCAATCAATGAATCAATGAATCAATGAATCAATGAATCAATGAATCAATGAACGAACGAACGAACCAACGAACGAACGAACAAATGAATGAAATGAAACGAAATGACATGACATGAAATGAAGGATTCTTTGACAATACCGTTTTTTTTTCTCCCCCAGAAGCTGAAAGCTGAAATGGGGGGTCTTTGTCCAGATAGGCTGCGGGGATGGTTTGGGCCAGTTTTCTGAATTTTTGACACTCCCCTGAAAGCTTAGGGGTCGACGGGCCCAGACGGGCTGTGTGGGTGGTTTGGGGCTACTGAAAGAAGGATGGTTTCGCAGGGTTCCTGGGGTCTTGGGGGCTGCTGGGGATACCACCTGGGCTTATTCTGTGTTGTGTGTTGTGCGATAGTTCACTTGCATACTGCACGGCGAGAGCGGAGGATGCAGCAAACCAGAATCGAGTCCAGAGACGGAGGGTGACGATTTGAATGACGCACCACCCCGTTCAAGCAGCTCCCTTGAGGAGGAGGAGACAGTCATCACAAAAGTTCTCAGGTCTATTGACCCCAGCATGCTGGATGGAAGCCCTGGGAATGTCAATGCGCTGACGCGCAAGGGCACGGCCTTTGTAACTATATGTAGTTCCATCGGTTTCCATGCGCTGCGTTTGATTCTGCGGGACGCCTTTTTTAGATCAGCGGCCTCTTCGACGGAGATCATGAAGCGCAAAGTCGCCGAGCACTACTTGCTCTCGGCCATCCACGCCTTTGGTTGTTCCTTCTTTAGCTTGCGCAAGCTGCTGAGCAAAAATTGGAAGTCGCCAGCTGGCTCCGAGGCTGGTCGTACCTCTGCAGCTTTGCATCTTAGGGTCCATCAAAAAAAGCAAAAGAAAAAAACAAGAAAACTCTTCACACTCCGGATCGTGGCCAGGCCATGCTTTGCTTCTCACTGGGCTACAGCAGTTATACGCTGGCGGCACTTCGAGGGTCGCTGGACCCCCTGTCCGGGGTGAACGAGGTGGCGAACTTTGTGAAGCTCTGGTCCTGCTTGCGGGCGCAGGGCGTGGCCTGGATCGTGCCCCTGCTCTTCTCCGCGGACCGGGGGATCGGGGGCCCCCCAGTGCGAGGGTCCATTTCAGCCCGGAAATTTGGCCCGATTTGAGCCCGTCAGCTTTGCAGCTTGTGAGTTTGATGTCGGGCCAAAGTAGCTTTGCAACCCAAGGCAAGCTTCGCTGGCTCTCCTTTGCCTTCCAGCCGTCTTGTTTTAGGGGATCGGTGACACCCCCAAACTGTGGTTTTCCTTTTTTCCCCTTAATAAGTGAAACAAGAAACTCAATGCGACAGATGCCCAGCGCCCAGCGCCTAGCGCCCACCGCCCAGCGACTCGTCGCCGTCGGATTTCCGTAGGAGATCCCCACGGCCTGTCTGGACGTGCTGCGGGTCCTGGCGGACTTCGGGGCTTCGCCCTCGAGCCTCGCCTGGCGCTTCTGCCTGGGGGCCTTCACCACCAGCTTTGTGGCCGTGAAGGCGGGCCGGGCGTCGCATCTTGTTTGCTGCGCCACCTGTTTTTTTCTTCTTTTTTTTGTGTGTGGGGGGGGGGGAACAAGAAGAGACAGAAGACGGCGACGGCTATGAAGGGCGCCTGCGGCATAGCACTAGAGAGAGAGAGAGAGAGAGATGATGGGCAAGTTGAGTTGGATGTGTTGCATCGAAGCCGCGTTTCGAGGTCGTCGGACTCCCGGCACGCTGTGCCGAGTTCGCGCAGAGGGCAGCCATTTTACATGTCCCAAATGCATCGCCGGTGAGAGCGCATGCGTGCACGAGCAGGAAAGTCATGTACAGTCTTTATGAATGCGGGACCTACTGTGGATGGCGCAACCTTGCACCACTTTGAAACCATGGGAAGCCATAATTTGTTGGTATTTACAGGATAATCGTCATTTTCAGGGTTTCTTAGGTGGTGCGGGATTGTGTCCATCCACAGTATTTCCACACAAGGGGAATCTTCTTTGGTGAGTTGGCATTGGGTCGGGATGCGAAGGCTGTGGCGCTGCCGATCTGCCTGGGGCGCCTGACGCTTGCCCGCAATGGGAAGAGCCTTGTGCGGGTGTGAGGGTCCGCCTGGAGAGCTCTGCATCCCACCCGTTTGCTTCCCAAGCTTTGTGGGTTTTTCCTTGGAGGACTGTGATGACAACGGCAGAGAGAGAAAGATATATATATATATATATCATTTGTATAGTGTGATGACATGATTCCTGGGTTAAAATGTATGGCACATGATGTAAGCAAATGGCCAGCGCCCTTCTTGAGCTCCGCTTTCTAGTGTGTCGGCAGGCTTTTGCCCATCTCAGTGAAGCTTATTCCTTCTTGAACCGAGTCGTGTCAGCGGTGCCTGCAGCTTCCGATTTGGCGCGTGGCCGCGCTGTGTTTGCTTTGCCTTGTGCTAGCTATCCGGCCAACAGCTTTGCTTTCATTGCTTTGCTGCATTCTTTGGCTGGACTGCTTCTTCAGTTGCCTCCTTTGCCCCCGTCCCCCTTGCCCTTCCCGCGCCACTTCTGTATGGCTGCCCCCGTGCGGGCTTCTTGCCAGAAATTCTTGCCTGGCGGCTGGTTTGCTTCGCTTGGCTTTGCTAGGTCTTGCTCACCTGCCTATGTTTCAGTGTACCGTACTGTTGGCATTTCCCCCAATTGGCCACATGTGCTTAGAAGTTGCTCGGGGCAAATCCATTGTACCGCGTCCTCTTTCTTTTCTTTTGTTCTTTTGTCCGGGGGAGCTGCGACCCAGCTGCGCCTCAGACACCTGTTCCCTTTTTATTTGTTTTAATCTGGGGGGCGTTTTTGGTGTTTCTGGTGGTTTACTTAGGGGGGCCATATTCGAATACACCGGGGCCTCCTCCGGGGTCATCACATGGGCGGCTAGACGCGCCCAGGATCCTGCGGCCGCAGGAGTTCCCGGAGCTGCACCAGCCCGCGTTCCTGCCCGCCAAGCTGGCGATCCTGCTGCGGGCCTTCCTGAACTACGCGGCTTTGTTCTGGAAAGCAAGCTGTTCGTTTGGGCCTTTTGATCCTTTTTTTTCTTCTCTCTGTTCTTTTTCTGTAGAGTTCTGTTCCGTTCACTTTTTCTTTTTTTCTGTTCCTTGTTTCTTCTTCTCGTTTTGTTTGGTTCTGTTCACTTTTTAGAAGGGGGCTGCAAAAGACACCGTCGGTTCTACCATACCAAGGGTTGCGCAGGTGTGGCTGAGCATCGCCGCAAGGCACTGGGTGCCGGTGCGGCATCTGCACCCGGAGGGCCAGTACCTGATCTCCCCGAAAGACCAGCGCTTGCCGCAGCTCCGGGACATCACCCCAGACATCTCTCAGTCCTTGCAGAACATCCGGAAGGCGTACAACCCCATGAGCTTGCTCTTCTTCGCGGTGCTTCAGGGATGCTACTTTGTTGGCCCTGCGGCTCTCCCTGCCATCCTCTATGCGTTGGCTCGCATCCCGAAGTACCGCTGGGCGGCAGGCTCGGCGCTGGGGATGCTGGGAGTCCTGGCAGTGTGGCCCATGCACACTGAAAGGCCATACCGCACGGGAGGCACTGCCATGGCCTCGTTTTTTCAGAGGTGGCTGCGGGAGCGGCTGCTGAGGTACTTCTCCTTCCAGGCGATCTTTGAGGAGCCCTTGCAGAAGGATCGCAAGTACCTCTTGGCGGTCATGCCTCATGGGGTCATCCCTTTTGCCAGCACCTGCCTGTCAATTGCGCTGGAGAAGGAAGGCTTTGTGCCCAACAGCATCGGTGCAGACATTCTGTTCCAGATTCCTCTGCTCAGGCAGCTTTGTAGGTTTGGCGGCCTGGTGCCGGCAACCCCTCAGTCAATCAAAAGGGCCTTGACTTGGAAATATCCCAACAACATCACCTTCATCGTCCCGGGCGGCATTGCGGAAATCTTCCTGATGCGCCCAGATCTAGAACAGGTCTTCATCAAGAGTCGTAAAGGCTTCATCCGCTTGGCTTTGCAAGCCGGCGTGGACATCGTGCCAGTCTATGGGCTTGGCCACACGCAGCTCTTCAGCATGCTGGACAAGTCCTCGACTCTTGGAGGCTTTCTGATGCGAATGAGCCGGCGCCTGAAGGTGTCACTGCCCTTGAGCTACGGCCGGTGGGGGATGCCGCTGATCCCCTACTCAAAGCCGATTGCAGCCCTGGTGGGCAAGCCCATTCGGGTGGACGAGCCGTGTCCCAACCCAACAGAGGAGCACGTCAACGAAGTCCATGCTCAGTTCGTCAACGAGCTGATCCGTGTCTTTGAGAAACACAAAGGCCGCTCGCATTTACTGGAAGGGGGGTATCAAATAAGCTATGACTTCTTGGATTGTGGCAGCCCAAGGATTTAAATGAAGTGCTCACAGCTGCCGCACTGTCTGTCGCTTTTGTCGCCACTTCCCAGCCCGTTTGGGAAATGCCCTGAATTGCAACGAGCCCGCGAGCTTGGACGCATGAAGCAGCGGGCCTGCGTGAGCAACTGACAATCTTCCCTGGAGTTGGCTTGGCAGGGCGGGGGCTTGCTCCCCCAAGCAATCAGGCAAAGGTTTTCCAATTTTCAGGCATGTAGCTTGGGCAACGCTTTTCAGCCGCTGATGTTTGGCGTTTAGAGGCGTGGTGCCTGGCTACGAGAACAAGCAGCTGTACTTGGAAGACGAGGATGTTCCTCCGCTCCGGCAGCTGTCTTGCAATCAGTACTGTTGTAATCAGTGACATGATGGTGTGTCAAGCTTGGCGAGAAAACTGAAGGGATTTATTGCAGGAATTCATGAAATGTTCACGCTGCCTCTCAGTAAGCTGCAATGAGGAAAGACGACGCGCTGGCAGCAGACGTGCTGTTTCCCAGCACGTTGCCTTCCCTGAAAAGTCGCCTGTGACACAGTAGTGTCACAGGTTGGCCGGTTATTCGGCTGAGTGTGGCAGTATTGCTGGCGAACTGCCGGCAGAGCTTGATTAGATGAGGCAGGGGACCGTCCGAAATGCAAGCAGCCTATGAGACAGGAGACTGACTGTCACTTGCCCAGGTGTTCATAACGTAGGTTGTATCAGGCACAGGCACCGCTCTACAAGCGGCATGCTGTGCTCGAGAAAAGGGGTGCCAGCTGCAATCGCATGTGCAGATGGCATCGCAAAGTCCCGCCAGATGTGCCAAAATGAAGCTGCACCTTGCTTCCGATAGGGGTTCTGATTTGGACGCGATTCCCTGTTTTGAGACCAGGGTGCTGGGGGCGATGCTGTGCAGCGGGGGTTGGTTTTAGGGGTGCTGGCGCAGGGTGAGTTTTGGCTGGTTTCACGGGGTGCTGGGTACCAGTTGCTGCTAGAGGTTCTGGTGCATGCTGGTGATTGTGGATGCTGTGGCAATGTGATTCCCACCACGAGTGTTTTGGTAGGCTGGGCATGGTGGTCAACAGCTGAAAGCTACAAGGGTTTAACTCTGCGAAACCCGGGCAAGGGAATCCTGAGTCACTGAGATCAATGGCTGGGTGCTAGGAGGTTGCTGTTCACGGTGCTGTGTTGCAGAGGATGCTTTTTGCGCCGGTGCTTGTTTCTTTTCTTTTCTTTTTTTTCCCCTCCCGGGCGTGGCAGTTGCTGCGGTTGAATTGGGGCTATGGCAACGTCTTTTCACTGACAAATGCCCAAGGGGGTTGGTTACCATGGAGCTGACGGAATAAAGTTAGCCAGAGATACCCATCTAACTTGAAGAGCTGCAGCGCCCTGAGAGTGAAAGCCAAAAGGTCAAAAGGTCCGAGGGTGAGAGCTACCCCGACCCAGACTGGCTCAGAGAACTGGCGACTGAAGGTAAGTTTCCAACGTGACTGGCTCAGTTGCAACTTGAGGCTGGCACAGAGCTTCTTGGCTTGCCGGCCGAGGGATACATGCGTGGCTCGCACGTCGCGCAGCCTTCGCAAAGCAGGTGCGCTTCTTTCCAGTAAGGCTTGCTGACTTTATTCTTTAGGCAGGTTAGGCTGCATGCGGCCCCCCCCCCACACCCCCCCCCAACCCCCCCCCCACCCCCCCCGGCAAACGCCAGATCTTGCAAGGCCGACCCCTTCAGACAACTGCAGGTCAGGGCTGGCGACTAAGTGACGTGCAAAAGAAAAGGAGCTTTGGAGCACCTGGATGCCACTGGGTTCTGTGGCTTCATCTTTTTTGTTGTTGTTGTGTATGTGTGTGGTTTTTGAGGGCCATTGTTTTTGGGGGTTTGAAGGGCCCCCCGCGCTTTGGGACCCCGGCGCTTTCACGCAAGCCACATTGGGTTTGTGCATGTGGCATGGCACACGAGGACAGCGGGTCCCCCCGGTGCAGGCGCGATCTCTCAATGCTTGCAGCTGGCCGATCCAAGCCCCGGGCATTCGCAGGAAACCTGAACCCAAAGATAAGATCGGATGTTCCATTACTCCTTGTTCAATAAAAAGTCAAAGTCACCAGATGTTTCAAACTAATTAGTTTGTCATCAGATGTTTCAATATAGTTTCTTCAGAAAGAATCAATAAGATGGAGTCTAAGCAAGGACCAACACATCCGCTTACCTCAGACTTGACGTGAGGTCATCCCGGTGCCCGGGCATATCCGCGAGTGCAACGGATCCGCCCTCGGGACTGGGACCAGTTTCGCCCATGGAATCGAATCACCGCAGTACTTGGAAGTGTCTTTTTGCCAGGGTTTTGGGTTTTGAAGGCAAACCGAAAGGAACACCGAAGCCATGTTGGGGGTCCCCTGAAGAAAAAGACACCCAGGTGTGGCGCACCAAGTTCCGTGCAACCTGTACTGACAGCACCTCCTGTGACTTATACGAGGCCTTGGCCTCAGTTCGGTTTGAAAGTTTTGGAGGCGTTCCGTCACACGCGAGACGCAAGAAATGCTGCCACTAACCCGAGGCAAGCCAGCCCCTTCACTCCTCGCGATGGGCCTGTCCAGTACACTCCTAGGGATGGGCCTGGAGCCTGAGCTGGCACATGCTCAGTTCGAACACCTCAGCAGCCCCTCCCGAGGATGCAGTCCTGGGCGCACCCGGTGCACCCGCCAATCCGCAGCATGTCTGTTCCAAGGCCCCGCTGCCAGGCTTTAGTTCCAGAAAATCTTGCTGGTGCACCATCCCTTGTGGTTTCCGGTGAGGGTACCCCGGGGTTCATTCCCTCATTCCCTCATTCCCTACTTATCGCACCAGCAAGAAAAAGGTTGTGAGAGAGGCAAGTTGATTGAGCGGCACAGCCACTTGAGCTGGGCCTCGAGTCGCCAGAGTGCGCGAACTCAGGGTCAGACTAGCGCCTGCTCCATCAATGGCGGCATTGCCGGTGGATGAAGGCGCGCTAAGGTGAGTGATTTTTTTGGGTGGGGAGTGGCGCTCAAGCAGACATGTAGAGCTCGGCATGCACACATATCTCTATGTAGCTAAACAAAAATAAACAAAGTAGTGCCGCGCTGCAGACTTGGAAGGCAGCAGAAGATTTGCGGAAGGCCTTCCGTTTTTGGTTGCTTGCGATGCTGGCTTGCAAGGGCACAAGGTACTCTATGCCACAAAAAGCCGTGCACTTTTGGGCTTGAGGGCAACGCCAGGTATGCTCGAGACATGAGGAGAGTAAAGGAGCGCACGATCTTGGGGAAAGATCGGGGGAAGATTAGTTCGGCAGCTAGGGCAAAATCAACTCCAACTCCCTTGGAAGCCTTCGCGGAAGGTTCGCGGAAAGGCGCCCCTCGACATAGGAACAACTGACCGGAGGGTTGCGCCTAAGGCGTGCGTCCATTGGGCCTGACAGGCGGCAACTACCTGCATGCCGCCCCAATCGCTGGGCATTCCGGAGGAGCGGGTTTGTGACCAGTTGTGCAGTTGCCTAGCCCGGATGTGTTGAGCACTGTTCGCCGGGCCAGTGAGCACTGCCTTTGCACTTGGATAACACAATGTATTTCGTTGAGGTTGGCTTCGAATTTCTCCGTGGCTTTGCCGTGTTTTGCCTTCGTTGCTTTGTTGCTTCTTTGCTCCTTGCCGCTCTGCCGTTTTGCCACGTTGCTCCTTTGGTCCCCTTACTCTTCCCCATTCCTTAAGTTTGGCCTTTGTGGCGCAATTGCTTGCCGGCAATTTGTTGGCATCGTTTTGAATATTTAGCTGACTCTTGCCTAGCTGGGTTGTTGCTCAAGCTTAGCGGCATGTAAGGCCAGTAAATGCCTGTTCGACTTTGAGTGCTGGCACGCCTTGAGCAACGGAGGAGCATGTGGCAGTGCGACGCCTGCCCCAGGCGCTCCTTTGTTGCCAATGGCCCAGTCACTCGGAAGCACTTGGGCTTGTGGGGCGCGGCACTTCGGGGAAAGCCGAGTCCACAGAGAAATGGCCCGCCACGGTTGGACTGCACTGAGGCGAGTTCGCCATATTCCGGCAAGGTGAGTGCATCTTTGTCACTGGCCCGCTCTCATGCTGCTTTCCAGTCTTCTTTAGTTTTTAGAAGCCGCCGTCCGGCGTTCAATCAATCTTGTGTTTCAGCTTTGATGCGGGCTGCGAACGGATGCTTCCAAGTTGCGCAGGCCCGGTCAGTTCATAAGGCTTAGCCAGGAGGACAAGCAAACATGCATGCACCGGGCATAGAGTTTGCAATGTGGCATGCATCAGCAGTTTTGATCTTTGGTTTGCAGCACTGCCTTCTTTGCACACGTGGAACTGTTAGTGAGGAATATGTTTGTCTCACGTTCGTCTGATTTAGGAGGGACCCCAGCTGGCTCAATGCCACAAATCTTTGCGACCACCTGGCTCGAAACATTGGTGTTGGTCTTGGTCGCCCTTTGGTCGCTTGGGAGGACAGCAGCTGCCACAGTAGCCGCCTGGAGACTAGCTCGCTTTCCAGGCGCTGTGGCAAGCGTGGGTGCGAATGGACAAAGGGAGAGGGAGAGAAAAGAAGACAGCAATAAACAAATAAACAAACAGATAAGTACAAAGAGCAAGAACGAAAGACACAAATGCGGAACATAGCGACATATAGAAACAGAACACGGAAGCAAGCCGGCCAAAGAAAAGCAAGCAAGAAAGAAATGAAGAAAGGGAGAAAGCACGAAAGGAACAAAGGACGCAATGAAGAAAGGAATAAAGGAAGAAAGGAAGAAAGGAAGAAAGGAAGCAAGGAACAAAGGAAGAAAGGAAGAAAGGAACAAAGGAAGAAGGGAAGAAAGGAAGAAAGGAAAGAAAGGAAAGGAAGAAAGAAATAAATAACGCACGGAAAAAAGCCAGAAAGGAAGAAAGGAAGAAAAGGAGAAAGGAGAAAAATAATAAAGGAAGAAATCAATAAATCAATAACAAATAGTGAAACGAACAAATACCAATTTAGAAAGACATTGTCCATGACACATGCAAGAAACAAAGAAAAACACATAAAGATGTCGCTCGCCAGAAATGATGTCTCTTTACACGTCTTGCTTTCCATGTTCCCATTTTTCAGAAAGTCACTACTTTCACCATTCACGGCCCCTCTACTGTTGTTGCGTGGGCATCAAATCAAGCAATCTTGTCAAGAGAGGAATCCGAAGGACGTGCAAAGAGGATCAAAGGCTTCCCGCCAAACGTGGAACGTGGCATTGCCAAACATGGTCCAAGTGCTGCAGGCTGCAACAGGCACTTGCAGATCAGCGAGCAGACCACGAAGTGCTCCGCACAATTAGATCCGTGGGAATGCTGCGCGGATGTTGCATCGGGGCTGAGGCAAGACTAGCGCGGGGCCTGGGCTCGAAAAGATCTGATGATGATCCTTGCATTTTGCATGTCTCCAATTCGAAGCCGCATGACGGCTTCATCTCTAGGCACAACTCCAGGCACAGTGGGACGAGCGGTTTACAGAGGCACGCTCTGCATGCCGTGTCACGGGATGAGAAGCCTTCATTCAGGCAGTGGCTTTCTGGCACAAAGCGTGGTCGACCACAACGGCCGTCGTGAAAGACTGCAACACCCATTGCGCGCTGACCTCAACTCGCTTTGAGTCGTCGGCCGGTAGGCCCATGCCGATTTTTCAGCCATTCTAGGGAAACCTGAAGGCCCACGGACAAGGAAGAGCAGGCAAAAAAATCCCCGAGAAGCGAGTCCAAAGCGTTTTTAGAAGCCATGCCTGGCCTCGTCAAATGAGGTGAAGCTGAGCCAGGTCTTGGAAGCCTCCTTGGACCAGCTTGGCCCAGACCCTGGAACCGCGAGATGGACGGGGCTCGATTTTTTTCCAAAGGGCAAAATCGCAGGTTTTACTTTAATATTTCAAATGAAAGACCTAGGTTTTAGTGTTAGTTGTCAAAAAAGCAAGCTGCCGCTGTTGTAGATGTTTTTGAGCCACAGCCAAAATTTGTTCAGCCCCCTTCTCCCTGAGGGCAGAGCAGCCTGGAACTTTCAAACCTTCAGAGCCGTGTTCTGGACTTGGAGGCCGGGACCGGGCTCTTTGGCCATGGGGTGCCGCTGTGCGGCGTTTTCATGTGTCGCTTCAACTGGATCGGCCGCCCTCAAGCCGTCAACTCGCAAAGCATCGACTCGCTTCATGAAGTATGCGTCGTGTGTTCTTCGGCCCACTTCTTTTGGGAATGGTGAGGGTTTGGCAACATGTCAAGTAGGAGTTGGGCTTTCTATTTCAATTAGCCCATTTTTCAATGAAAGATGTCCTTGGAGTTCGCGACCGCGTGACTCACCCATCGTGCCTCTTACAAACCTGCAGGCGGCTGCAGGTTTGTCATCGAGGCTGCTGCCTGGGGGGAGGGCTGGTTCTTTGATTGCTGGCTCACAAGCACACTTAGTGCGTGCGCATTCAAGCCCACGTGCACATACTGGTAGCAGTGGTGACAACCCGCTCACGCTCTCCGCCAAGGGCACGCGGAGTTTCAAGCAGTGCAAAGCACACGTCGCACACACACTTGAACTCCAGATGGAGAGTGCTAATCTTTCGAGTACAACTGATAAGTCTCGAGTACAACCGATGAGTCTCGAGTGGGTGTAGGTTCGGCTTGCAGTCACTTGGTTTCCGTCTAGCAGCGAAACCGTTACAAATTCAACATGAAGCACACACAGCGAGAGAAACAACGGGCCAAAAGGACTTTACATCACCAACTCCAAATGTCGCAGGTACGTCGAGGTGATCAGCCTCGATATCCGCATTTGCTGTGGCCGCTTCGTTGGACCATCGCACACAGCAAACGGATGGTCCCCCTGTTGACGAAGAAAAGATTGGTGACAGGGCATTCTGTCACTCCGCACACACACGCCCCTCTACGAGGGGCGAAGTTTCTCTTTTCTCCTGGTGGAAGATCAAATGCTCACACTCAATTGTCTATCGTTGACCAAAAAATCCTCCACGGCGCGGGGAGCGAGACACCGCCCTGAACCGCTCAGAAGACGGGAACGAAAGATCACCACGTTGAGCATTGCGAGTGTCGCCATAGAGAACTGAAGTGATGTGCGAAGCAGCCGGGCGATCACCTTGAGAAAACGGAGTGGCATAGGTGAATGTCTCCTCAATTGGAACGGCATCGGAGTTTCGAACTCGACCAAGCGTCTGATCATGTGGATCGCGAGTCGTGAATGACTCAATCCGTGACAAGATGCGCTGGTACCCTTGGTGTTGCCAGTCACGGATGTCCCATGCTTGGTCTGGTGCGTCGGGCTCAGTCACCCGTCTCCATTCACGAAACGAATTCTCAGGGACATCTGGCAAGGCGTCCCCGCGGTGCCATCGTTGAGGATGTCCTGGAGTGTATATCCGCACCCACTCCTGATCATGCCAGACTGAATATTCAAGCCATGGGTGCTGCTTCAAATCATCGACGTCCATGTCAAGGCAAGAGGCAAGAATTGTCGCGGGCTCCGATCCGGCTAGTAGATAAACAAGCACAATGCACAACCATGTTCAACCAGCAACAAACAACCAAGCAAACTCATGCAAGCGCAAAGATCACCCTGATTTCGTATGCAACACTGCTAATGCGAGTCTAGTCTTCAGTGAGCTCGAAGACGGGACTCATCTTGTCTCGGCCACTGTCGGAAGGATTAACGGGCCGGTAAGGGTCGGAGACCCCAATCGTCTCCAATGATGTGCTTCCACGCGATGCACGTACGGGTTGATGAGGATGGGAAGCTAGACGTGCGCGAGCTGTCAGTTGTTGCGAAATCCCTTCCTGGAGACGCGTCAGTTCTTCAGTAGAGAAATCAGCTGCATCCGAGGACCTGAGAATCGCGTCTAACAGCTCTGGCGACATAGTCAATGCCGTAGACTGCGTGGCCACGCTGAGATGATCGGGGGAATACCCTGAGTCAAATTCATGACCAGCGTGAGGGGCAGCGATTCGTCGGTAGCCCTCTGTGGCCCAGTCTCGTTTGTACCACATAGTGACTTGGGCCTGCTCTCCGACTGAGGCCTGGTTGGGTGCATAGAACTCCCTCCACTCTCTAAAAGTGTGCGGAGGAGGTGGTTCATCATGTTCCTCTTGCGGCGTCCACGGTCCCGGATGAAAGATCTTGACCCACTAGCCATCAGGTTGTTGAGGGTCCGGGCACCATTCCAGCCACGCCATGACAACACCACCACGGAAAGAAAAGTTGATAGGTGTACGGCTGCAGACAACAACAAGTGCAAGCAAGTGAACAATCCTAATGCAAGAGAGCACTTTTGTGACAATATGTGGCGCCAGCATCATAGTCTGATTCTCAAGAAGTCATTCCAGCATACATGAGGTCCGGTGCGCCCGAAGCAAAAACGGGCCTCGCTATGTTAGGATGTGGACGACCCAGGCGTTGATACCCCTTGGTGACCCAGTCCCTGTAATACCAAGTGTAGAAGGTGGCGTAAGATACCGGTTGCAGAACCGTGCCAGTGGTTGTGCCGCCCGTGCTTTCCCGGGGCCAGTACACTTCGAAGTGGTAGACCTTGCGCCATTCCCGATAGGTGGTCGAGTCATCCGGGGCTGGTCCCAGGGTGTCTGGGGCTACTGGATGCCACTGACCCGGAACATAGATTCGAATCCATTCCACACTCGTTCCTGCTCGACCATGAACGATGTCATAGTCAAAATAACGAGGTAGATCCCATCGTGCTGCACCATGCACTGTACTATTGAACATTTCAACCCAACTAGCTGCTCAAAGTTAGCACGGAAAGCGGCGGACACACTGAAACGACATGCACAGCACCAAACAAGACAACCCAATGCGAACACACATACAAAGCAAGCACAACCGCGTCTTTATCCAACATACTGCTCAAGAATCAATCCGAGTCATTCCAAGGATCATGGAATGGTGGCGGTGACGGTTCCCGCCACGCCCCATCCGGTACCGACGATTCCACCGAGGACTCGACGTCCGCATTGACGAGCATCGCGAATCCCATGGATTGTACAGGAGGTCCAAGGCGTTGATAACCTCTTGTTTGCCAGTCCCGGTACTCCCACACGTGATAGGACACATAGGCGCTGGGCGTGGCTATAGGATCCATTGTAGTTCCACCGGTGCTGTCTTCAGACCAGTACACTTGGAAGTGATATGATCTGCGCCACTCCCGATACGTGGAAGCGTACAGTGGGTCAGGCACAGGCGCCTCATCGGGAACGGGCCTCCAAATGCCCGGAGAGTAAATTCGAATCCATTCCACTCCTCTATCGATCTGGTACTCGAAGTACTGGGGGTTCATAGCAGCAATACGTGCTTGCACGACTGTTGAACCAAACGAAAGTCTGCGGCAAGGCAACACATGCATTACCAACCGCACATACACACCGAAGAGTGAGGCAACTTTTCAAACACAAGATGAAACGCAGCAACGAGGTCGGAAATGTCAGACTCCTAGCTGTCACTGTCGTCGATGTCGCGCACACCTGCAATGATAGTGACCTGGCCGTCTACGAGCACAAGGGGAAAGACACTTCCGTCCATGGCGCAGGATGGCGTGACAGTAATGCTTGCACGCCGCCGAGGGGGATTGCGATGGACGGCCTGCACGTTTGGAATAAAACGCTGTAAAGGGCCGTCGAGATCGCCGCGGCGCCGAAGCTGATGCTGTCCGAGATCGTTTGGACGAGGGTCCTGGACTGCGTGGTTCTTCATCACGGGAGGGGTCACTGCTGTAGATCGAGCGGCGTGTGCGCTGCGATTTCGAAGAGGCAGGACAGGATTGTCCACGAGGGGCTGAGATCGTGGGGCTGCGTACCGAGGGCATAAACTGTGGGTGAAGAATCACCGGTGGTGGTGGTGGTGGTGGAGGAGGAGGTGGAAGAAGCAATGGCAAACTTGGCGGGGGCGGAGGTGACGTAGTTAACCGTATGGGTCTGTCGAGTATAGCCCCGGGTCCATGAAATTGTAACCACGTCGGCTGCGCTCCATGGGTCCAGGTAATGTACGTCTGTACAACTTGTTCCGACATGATTTGAGCAACTCGGGCAAGGCATCACTGCATGTCAACGACATTGCACAACACGACAAGCAAGATTGATTCACATGCGAGCAAGCAAATATCATGTGATCAACAACGCGAATCGGACACACCGCCGCTGCGCATCATTTGGTCCATCAATGGTCGTTGCTGCATTTGTCGGGCATGTTGCTAACCGCGAGCTTCAAGTTGTTGATAGACCTTCCATGCCTGCTTGACTTCCTCAATCGGCTTCTGAAGAAACCGCGCAATGGTCTTATAGGTGGGTCTGGAATCTTTATCCTTCTTTCGTCTCACCATTTCATCCAGCTCACCCTGTGTCCATGCCGTGAAGGGTTCACGGTACGCATTGCGAAGTGCAATGGTAAATTCTTGTAGAAGTTCACGAGGACCATGGACCACCGTCGGCGACGGCCGGAACGACGAGGCACCTGGATGCGGACGTACGGACCCATCAGAATCCGAATCAGGTGTCGTAGGCGTCGTTTGTCCTGGCTCTCGTGCACCGTGTATCGCGCCAGGAGCAAGGGGACGAGGAGGTGGTAGTCGATCCAGCATCGATTCGGGCCGAGCTCCCGGATTGTGGTCACTAGCATCACGATGTGCCGCTCTAGGCGGGGACAAGGCCGGTATGTACCAGGTAGATGACGTGTCCAGCGGTCGACCCCGAATACGTGCGGGTGATCGGGATCTGTCAGATGAGGGGTGCTCCGTGATGATGCGGGGGCGCAACCCATGTCTGGAGTTTCTTGGTGCTCTTGGGGTGACCACCGTGTCAGTCGGACGACCGCGTTCCGTCATCAAGGCAAAGTTCAGGGTATCCAAAGCTGTCGCCACTTGGGATGCAAGGACATTGAGCACAGCCACCAGGTTATTCACAAACTCAGCTGACAAATACATGGCAACCGATCAAACCACAAGTTCAACTCAAGCAAAGCTGCAAAGCGATAATGCTGCGGCAAGACAGAGATAAGTTACATGCAAGCATGAATGCAGCAAACTCTGACGTACTTTTGTCGCTGTTGCTCCGTCATCGTTCATAGGGCAGACCAGACGGTCTGCAAGCTGGCATGGCTTTAACTGCCGGTGGATACTTAGGAGTATAAGCATGACGGCGACCCACTGGCACTGCATCGACAGGACGTTCTGTGAACCGTCGATGATGGCTGCGGGATCGTCTTCGGTGCGGCTCACGATGCCTAGATCTTCGCCGTCGTCTGTGTTCCCAGGAAGTGCTGACACTCACCGTGCGTGTGAGAGCAGGGTGCTCCGCACGGCTGTCCGTGGTGGCCACGAGAGTGACCGGCGCTGCCATGTGGTC